TTTGCATTTCCTTGAGATTTACTCTATGGCTGAAGACATGATCAGTTTTGTCTTCCATGATGTTTGAAATAATGTATAATCTTTTTTAAGGTACAATATATCAAACAATTTTTAATTTGGTATGATTGCTATGTATACTTATTCAATTATTGTCATGCACAGCATTTTTATAAATTTGAATTTACCAACCTCTTATTTTATGTTGTGTTTTGAGTTATCATTGTGAAAGTCTTATATACATAAGACAATATAGAAATTAATGCATATTTTCTCATAATAGTATTAAGTGGCTCCATTTTTAGACGTGTAGCTCTCTGATCAATTTGGGTTTTTGCTGGTGGGTGGTGTGACCTATGGATGTAATTAATCTTTTTTTTTTTCAAATGTCTAAAGTGCTTGACTTTGTTAGTAATCAGGAACACTGCATGATGAGGTATAACTTTCCACTCATTTTATTAATAATTCTTTCATGACTGGATAAACATAAGAATGTAGAGGATTTGATCTTTTCCATAAACAAAGGCATGAATTTAAATTACTATCTTTGTTGGAAAGAAATTTAGTACTATACCTTCAAATTAAAAACACACACTTCTAATGAACATTTAAAGTTTTATTACTCTATTTTACAGAGCCAAAATTGTGATGTACAGCATGTGGCGTTCATCGCCACAATATTGGTTTTATGTGCTCTCAAGACAGTCTACTGAAGAAATCCATCCTGATGGAATGAGATGGCTGGGCACTTTGACGCCAGGTCTTCTGTAATGAGCTTCTCCAAGATAAAGGCTATGAAGTGGAACTTGGTAGGAGCAGGTGCCCATAGTTAGGAACAGGAACCCTCGTGCCAAAAAAAAAAAAAACCTAAATATTTTGATGTGATGGTTTCCAGGGAATTTACAAGAGAGAAGTTTTTAATACAATGTGTCCTTTCCTCACCTCTTAAGATAGAAGATATAAATAAAACAAACAAAAATCAAACTAATACCTGGAAAAAAAATTAGCCAATAACATCCTGTTTTCATTCTCAAAACCCAAACCAGAACCCTAAACTCTTGCCAAAAGCAATGGGATTGTAAAATATGGACAAGCGTCAGAAAGATGTTTCCTCAATGTCCATCCCAGATATGGTCGTGGAATAAACCAAATAAGGAGAAAATCTCAGAATAAGGAGAAAAGCTCGTATCCATGGAGAAAAAAGTGGATAAGGCAAATCCTTCCAGAGAGAAGACAGGGAACTGAGCTTGGGGGACTAAGGAGCACGCTTCCCTGACAACGTGAGTGGCTGTCTGTCCTCACACCCCAGAACATGTGACTGGGAAGGACACCCACTGAGTTAGTGGAATTAAATGCCCATTGCTTGGGTCCAGGAATGGAGCTAGAGGGAGTAACAAGTTCTTGACAAAGGAGTGAATGTCTTTCATATAGTTGCAAGTATTTTAGAATTTAATTTGGACAAAGGGCGTGTATATTTTGGGGTACTGTTGGTTACCTATTAGTCCTTCCCTGTCCCTTCTTTCTGGCTGATGTAGTCCCCAGCTTGCTCTGTCTTTCCGCTGGCTGACTGAGGCTTGTGTCTGGGGGACATCTACGGCAAGGAGCCCAGTCTCTTTGACAAGGGCTTGTGAGGTCATCCCAGCCAGTGAGATACGTACAGCAGGTTACTCTCTGTGGGATGATTCTAAGAAAAGTTTTGGAAGTTCCATCTTCTTGCCTTCTTATATCACATTCTGAGTATGAAGTCATATCTTGACCATTTGGGAAACATGCCAGATGAGAAATGAGGCCAATATTCCAAAGACCCCAGAGTTGGAAGTGGATAGTATGAATTTTTTCACAATACTGTGCTGCTGACTTCAATAACCTTACAGCAGCCCTATCTGAAGATGTGTTGTGTTGTGATAACATACATTCCTGGCTGTGAAAGTCAGTTGAATCAAGCTTCTATTTTGCACCCAAAGCACGTCTAACTAGAAGATTCCCTCTTCCTTGAATGGAAGAGCAAAGACAGCCTTCTATAGGAACGCTGTGCAGCAAACCTGAACCCCAGCCCCAGACAGCTTGGCTCACACACCAACACCCATCTTCATTAAACCAGGGCCTAGGTTCATGTGCATAAAGTTCTCTCTTTATGGCTTCTGCTGTGATAGAAGTGGACAGTGCCGGTTGTCAAGATTCAAGAGTGCAGGAGGTACACTACTCTTATATGGAGGAAGCCAGTCTTATCACGAACATTTTGTGGACAGCAGCCCCCAGATAGAATCCCAAGTGTGTTTCAGACACATGACTTTAGATAAGACTTGAGCCTGATAATCAGCAATATCATATATCATGAGAGCACAGGGACAGATGCTGAGATACGGTGTCGAGAGCCATCTTGCTATAGGGAATGGCATGGGAGCCTGAGGAGCGACACCCCTTGTTCAGCTAGGCTGCAGGGGGATCCCACGTGTGTGGCATGGCTCCATGGAATTTCCTGTCTGTTCGCTTTCTGTTGCTTGACAAGGCTTCCCAGAATTAAGCAGCCTAACCTTTTGGCTTAGTATGGCTTTGGGAAATTCCGAGGGCCCTGGAGTTTCTCAAAGGACATATTAAAATACCTCAGAGTTAATTGGTTTATTTAAAGGGCATTGTCAGTACTAAAGGTGTTTTTGATGCATGTTCCCAGGATGGATTGGCTTGATTTCATTTTGTTGTTGATCTTTCCTATTAGTGGTGTGTGCATAGACCATCATTTTAGTATAACTAACTCTATAGTTGTGATCATGCTCTTGTGTGTGTGGAATAAAGTTATCGTGTTAAATTTTTATAAATCCACATCTCCTAGGGAGATGGTGGGTCTGAGTGCAGTGGTGTTTACAACTAATTGATCACAACCAGTTACAGATTTCTTTGTTCCTTTTTCACTCCCACTGCTTCACTTGACTCACCAAGAATATATCATTCCATAGTAATAATAAGAATGACGCAGTGCACTTGTATAAACTTGAGACGGGTCATTTTAACCTTGTTCCCTGTGTTGTTCCCGGAGTCAGTTGGCAGAGAGATGAAATGTTTTGTTATAGAGTTTTGATACTAACAGGTTTGTTTTAGATTAGTTTATAATTTAGAATCATTTAACAGTAATAGAGATTTACTATTATATTTTATTATATAAAATCATGATGTAACTAATATGGTTTTAGTTGGTTAAGAATTAGCATAGTTGATATAAACATAAATATTATTAAATTGTTAAACATAAGTAAGATTTAATCGGAGCTTAGAATATAAGTTTATGTGTAAGTTGAAAAGGTTAGGATTTATGATTCAAACCAAAAGTCTGACGTCTTGAAGCCAAGCATGCTGCTATTGTGTGGCTTCCTGGCCACAAGCCACGGGCTTTGGGGTGAACTACTGATGCATGAGTAGGTGTTTTTGTCACAGCGTGAGTGCTTTGGAACATTTTGACCTTTCCTTTTCAATAGAAACAAAATAAAAATGTTTTGATTAAAAGATAAATCATCATGTAAAAAATGAAGTAAAAAATATAAATGAAGCAAGATTCATGTGGTCGTGGTCCACACTTGCACTAGACATTTGTGGTCCACCTTTCTCTTTTTTCCTCATCCTATTCCACACCACCTAGTCAGGTCCAATGAATCCTGCAGAGCTGGACTCCGGCAAGTGGTGGCTAACCATGAAATTGATATGAAAGGCTCACTGGGTTGGAGCAGAAGCGTGAAAACAGACCTTGACCCTGGAGAGCTGTGAGTATTAACCCTTGATCCTCCACTTCCCCAGCATTTTAGGGACCCCAGGACCCACACCATGACAGGCACATGATGAAGACTAGAAACTACTGGACCACCAAGCCTTGTCCCTCTGGCCACAAGCCACAGACTTTGGGGTGAACTATTGATGCCTGAGTAGATGTTTTTGTCAGAGCATGAGTGCTTTGGAAGATTTTGACCTTTTCTTTTCAATAGAAATGAAATAAGAAATGTTTTGATTAAA